AAACATGCCAAGCACTGATAAAACTAAAAACACAAACAGCAAGGAAAAGCAAAGTTAAAAGGCAGCTCATCCAGATGTAAAGGGCTCAGAACAGCATCTGAGCTAGCAGCATCCTTGGCGTGATGACTTGTGGCCTGAAATGCCATGCTCTGGAATGGAGCAACTAGAGAACTTGCCTCCACCTCGTCCTTAGAAACCTCCATAAGACTAGCTGTAGGACAATGACGGTCAGCGCTAGTGGCTTCCCCTTCTCTCAGCGGAGAAGCATCGCCACTTCCGGTGCCTTCGCCCTTGGAGCTGGAAGAGTCATCACCCAAAATGTCGGGCATAGGCACCATGATGGAGGGTTCAGCAGTAGGGCCACCGCCCATTCCTTGAAGGGCGGTGTCGACAAAGTCATCACCACCAAGATCTAAAGAGGCAGCAGAATGCTCGCTATCCATCCTAGCATCCACGGAAGCCGAGCCTCCGCCAACATTCTCTGCAACCTCCTCATCGGCCTCAGCGGAGGCGGTAGCAGAAGCAACCGCGGTCTTTTGTTTCTTGCTAACAACCTTGGGTGCACTAGTCCCCTTTCTTTTCTTTGCCTCCACCGCAGTAGTCGTGTTCTTGGCAGTGGCCTTCCTCGTCTTGTCTTCAAGTGATTTATGTACCTTCGTAGGCACATCATGTTCTTCATGATGGATCCCAAGCTCCTCAAACACCCGATTAAGATGGGGCATCGTACCGGCGATGGCCCTGCATGCCAGATATTCCTTGTTAGACATCTCGCTGAGTATCTCATGAACCCCTGCCTCTGTTGACTTCACAAACTTTTCAACGGCCTTGCTGTCCTTCGGTTGCAGACCGAATCGGGGAAATGGAACCCCAACACTTTAGCTAAAGACTGGAAGATTGACCATCTCAATGGTCATAGCAGGTCTATTCCTACTAAGGGGCCAGCAATTAGCAGCCACCATCTCCTCCACCAGATCTCGACCTTTGGAATACCGACAGGCCAGAGCAAAAGCCCTATCGTAGGCTTTGCGGCCCTCAAAAGCCTCCGTACCTAGAGTCCCTTGAGTCGAAGGCTTCATCGGAGTCATCACTGAAGCCAATAGATAGCGGGTGTTCTCCTTTCCATCTGGGCCAGTAGATGTCAAGCCGCCAGTCCTCATGTAGAACTAGTACTGTATCTAATCCTTCGACCATTTGTTCTTCTGAGCGTAAGAAATCTCCAACTTCTTGCCCTTCTGGTTCCTTTGCATCATGAAAGCGCACCTTTCATATTGGGCTACCAACTGGCCTTCGCCAACCCGTTTAGGCTGACGCTGCATCTCATAATACTCACAAAAGGTACCCACGTTGGGCTCCGCCCCATAAGACAAACATGCCCAACAAAACTTGCTCAGAGTAACAATGCCATTGGGGGTTAGTTGATGCAGTTGTACCTCAAACGCTTCCAAAACATGGCGAAGGAAATGGGCGACAGGGAACCGAAGGCCGCAGAGGAAAAAATCCTTGAACACCACGGTGTCAGCAACCTGAGGTTTGGGAATAGTTCCCCCCTACGGAGGCTTCACTTTAGCGTCGCCAAAAACACCCAACTTCCATAGATCTTTGATCATATCCTTCGTCATGAGCGAATGTCCAAAATCCCATGTCCTGCTCGAGCCAGCCATATCCTCTGCTTCCACCACAGTAATGAGGTCAGCGATGAAGGCTTCAACGCTTCCTAGATCCTCTACGAGCTCTTGCGCCTCCGCATTAGCAACCATACATTCCTCAAACCATGCACACCACCTGCTCACCCTAACACCAAGAAGACAACGGTACAGACCAAAGAAAGTAGCCCGACGGGGAGGAGGACTAACCATAGAAGCCACGTCCAAAAATCTCGGCAAGAGCAAAAGGAAGCAGAGGCAGGGAACGAGCAGATGAAGGCTAAGCGCAAGGAAAGCGAGATTGGAAAGAAAAAGGTCAGGGAAGCGACTATCGCCTCCTTATATAGCCCCTGCCCTGTCGCCTCAACTTCTAGGGCCAACGGTCGCGTCCGTTCGGTAGTGCATCGGTTGTAGAGCCATCACAGCCAATCAAATAATGAAACATCACCAACGCAATGGTCTAGTCCAAGCGACCTAGGGGGAAGAAGGGGAAGCCTCCGCTCACACAAGAGCCTTCGCACCTCATAACTTGAAGACCTAGTTTTGAGGACAAGGCCCGCCAGCATCAGCCCATGCCCTCAAAGGGGGGAACTGTTGGGACACGGTTATGAGCCACTGAGGCTAGAGTTCACGGTGACAGTAAAAAAACTAACAGCTTTCCAAGTTTCATGGGCAACATGCAGGGAAAGGAGACGGAGACCTCTGCTCAACTGGTCACTCCGGGCGAAGGCCTGGAGGCTGCGGTGAAGGTTTCACCAGCGTAGGCGAAGGCCATGGTCCGGGTGAAGGTCTGGAGGCTGCGGCGAAGGCTCCACCAGCGTAGGTAAAGGCCATGGCCCGAAAAGGCCTGGAGGCTATGGCGAAGGCTTCACCGACATAGGCGAAGGCCACGGTCCAGGAGATGGGAGCAGAGGTCCCGACGAAGGCGCCCCGGGCGGAGGACCTAGAACTTAGGAGAGCTCCTGCTCGGCGGTCGCACTGGCCCATGGGCCGATGATGGGCCATCGGTGGTAGCTCAACAAGCAAGGATGGTTGAAGAAAAGGGCACCCAAAGTACCCCAAGCTGCTTGTACTAGCATAGGAATATTCTGAAAATGTACCATGACCGACAAGGGACATAGTTGCAAAGAGTAGCCTTAGTAAACAGTTCCCTATAAAAGGGGGACTCAAATTATGTAAAAGGGGAGGTTAGTGAGTGCATTTATGAAACCCTAACCAAGCCTGGGCCCAACTTCTACTCTTCCTGACCTTCGCCTGGAGCACTCGACTGGGAGAAGGATCCATTACGTCCCGTCTGTTGGATACTCGAGTTCGCCAACAGGGAGGACGCGTGTATCCCTATCCTGTATCCCCATCTCGAGGGAGGACGCGCGTGCATGCGAATAGCGCCCTCAGCAGGCGGTAGCTCAACGTCGACGATGTGGCCGGCGCTAATGCGGCCGAACAGGACAACATCTTGAGGTACAGTGTGGCAACTGGCGAACCATGGAAAGAGGTGTGGCATCCTAAGGACTAAGGTGCTATGCCTCGGTCCTACTCCTATAGTTCGCACTCGTGAGTCGTGATGCTCGGGAGGCTAGAGCATGAGCATGCAGGTGCTCGTCTGCGTTGTGCGCTGCCGCGCCTCGTGCCCTCTTGTCCGCCCGTTGTTGTGGTGTGCCCACTCGTCTGCGTGTGGGGCTGCCACCATATGCTCGGTGCTCACCCGCTCCTCCTGCGCTATAGATGGACAATGGGCCGAACCGGCCTAGCCCGGCACGGGCCCGTGCCAGGCATGGCTCGAAGGGGGCCAGGCCGGCACGGCACGCTGTGCCACTCGGGCCGTACCTATTAGGGCTCTGGGCCTGCACGTCGGCCCAAGCATGGCACGTCGGGCCAGTTTCCGTGCCGGGCTGCCTGAAAAGCACGGCTTATGAAGCCTAATCGGGCCAGCCCGAGGCCTGCTTGCCAGGGGTAGGGAGGCGCCATGGTGGTTGCAGGCGAGCTTGGAGGAGAAGGTCGAGGCCGCCGCCCCTTGTAGACGCGGCGGTAGCAGGCGAGTTGAGCTTGGGGAAGGTCGAGGCAGCCGCCCCTAGAGCCTGTAGCCGCGACTCACGTGGCCACACCGCGCTCGCCCTCGGGCGCCTCGACGAAGAGAGCAGCTTCGGACGGGAGCACGGAGCAGCAACATGCCCCCACGCAGACGACGGGGACAGCAGGGGAAGGGAAGCCGGCGATGCGTCGAGATGATGGGAGCGAAGCGCGTGCACGTCGCGAGGGAGACGCTCTGATGCGGTCCGGCGGAGATGGCCGAGTAAGTGTGGGGCGGCGGCTGTGAAGGAAATAAGATAAGATAGGGTTAGAAGTGTGTTGGGCTGTAATATAGACGTGGCCTATTAAGGTGATAGCGGGTCTAGTACCGGGCCAAGGCTATTTTACAGGCAGTGCCGTGCCGCCCAGCGTGTCTGAGGAGTGGCCCAGACACGGCCCTATGTGTCGTGCCGGGCTGGCCCGGGCCCGCTGCTCCCCCGGGCCGTGCCGTACTCGTGTCGGGACAAAATACCGTCCTTTGGGCGGGCCGTTGTGCCCCGGATTGCATGCCCATATATATCCTGCGCTCACCGGCCACGTACGCTCGCGCACGTCGGCACCCTCCATGCCTCCCGAGCTCGGCGGTCATCGTCCTCCGTGTGTGATGTAGACAGAGGAGCCCAATAGCATGCAATTAGCACCTCCAGCGCAGGCAGCCTAGTAGTTCGTTGCAGGGCCCGTGATCGAGTGCGTGGACACCATGCATCTCCCCCTCCTTCGTGGACGCCCATAATTCAAGTCACCATGCTGTTCGCTGCCACCGACCGCCACGCCATCACCAGCTAGTCCGCTAGCCTGTTTGGTTTGGACAATGACATCCGATCCAGTATCCGAACCTGATCGAGCCGTTTGGTTTGTGTCGTGGATTGAATACGTCCGTCACGACTCACGAGTACGTCCTTGCAACACTTGGATAGGCCATTAGCAAGACAAGCCTCCTGGACGGATTCACTCCTGAAAAAACGTCGGACGAGCACATGCCGGACCATCACATGACGAATCAAGTCAATCCCGAAACCAAACAGCCTGTAAGTTACCATGTGATCGACTTGCAACTGAATCTGTGTCCCCAATATACCCTCGAGAAAATATATTTTATTTTATAGATAATCTTTGTTATTTTTTTTGTTTTGCGAGGCTTTGTCAATTAAATGGGCTAATAAAAAAACGAAAGTACTTTTCCATCCATTGTAAAAGAGCTCTTAATCTAATTATTATTCATCAGTTTTCCTTGATTGATTACATGACATGACATGACATAAAAAAAGGGAGCTGAGCAGATAATAGTTATATTCCTCGATCGGTCTCATGATTCTTCCTCGATCGGGTGCCGCTCGACTTGACATACACCCATGGTTGGTCCTTATATGGTGGTTGAACCGTCCAAACTGAGAAAAAAAAATAGCATTGCATCACATTATTATCATAGAAAATTAATTTCTTCATTTGTTACTTATAAATACTTAATTAAAAATACACAATAGGTCTAAAATATTTATCTCAATAAAATAAATAGTATTTGGTACTTAATTACCTCCGCATTTGCTTCCAACTGCAACCGGATTGTTGCATTGGCGTGAAACTCGTATTAGTTTAGAAACACTTAATACTCTCAGCTGCTCGTCGGCGGAAAGGTTGCGACAAATGCCCGCCATGTTAGATTTTCGCACAGCTGCACAGCATTCGGCGCTTGGTTGGACATAATCGCCACCAAGGCTGATGGCATCCTTGCATTTTCTCTTAATTTCTTCTTTATCCTGGTAACAATCCTCTTCACCCCAAGCTTGACGTGTCACAAGCATGGTAAAAACTAAGGAAAAAACCATGAGTTGAAGGATTACTTTTGTATTCATCATGACTATGTTCATGTTCCTAAGTCTAAAGTACTTCCTCTCTCTCTCTCTCTCTGTGTGTGTGTGTTAGCCTACAACACGCACTACACACTTCTATTTATAGCATACGAGGAGCAAGTCTCATGTGACACAGTTAATGTCATGGAATCCTAGTACATACTGATAGTACCGCCTACAAAGCAAAACATAAATGCTTATAAATCTTTGAACAAACAAACAAATGAAACAAAAATTAATGTAAAGAATCCTTGCGATTGATAAGTAGTAGTAGTGGACAACACGGATATATATAATATATGGTCCATTTATTTTTAGTACTTTGGTAGTTCCGGCCACAAGTAGGATTAGGCATTCGGTTTAAACTGAAACTTTGGTTCTGTTTATTCGGTTTCTATAAACTTTGGTTTCCAAGAAGAATGAACCCCCAATCAATTATTTTGAAAATAGAAAACCCACGAGTTCCATTTCTGGTTTTCCGGTTTAAACCAAGAAAACTGATGTCTTCCTAATTGCAGTCGATGTTGACCTGCTCGCAGATCCTGCCGCCGCCCGCCCGCCTTTTCTCCTCGCAGTCGCCGCTCCCGCTGCCGCCACGCAGCTCCGGCTGCTCCCTGCTTGCCGTGCCGCTCGCCCGCTCCACCGCTCGCAGCCGTCGGTGCGCTGTTCGCTGTTCCATGCTCGGTGCTCCCTGGTCCCTGCTCACAAGGTCGTTTGTTGCTTCGTGCTTCACAAGGCTTGATAACCAATTACCTAAGAGAGACATTGGTATATTTGAATTTGGCAAGTGTCAATTGATAGTATTTGTCTTTAGATAAAGGAATATAACATTTCGACCTCCAACGACCATCACGGAAGAATGAGTGCAACCATTTGCAATAGACTCATAATACACAAAAGAATGAGTACAACCATAAAAGAAAACTCAAGTTGTAAATTCCTTGGTGCTTGAGCGCCGACAGACTGCAGAACAAGGTTCAAGTTGGTGTTGGACAACTACGGAATGCGACCATGGCTCGAGGAAATTATTTGAGGCCAGGCTCAGTGGAAGTTTTACGTGAATTTCATTTACATTAGAAATAGATTGTCACATAGACATTTTTTATGACATGACAATATATTTAAGAAGAGAGAAGAAACAAGTTCCACTTACATAAAACTCTCTTGGCACGATTACCAACCAGGGCCGGCCCCGGATGCGGGCAAGCGGGGCGGCCGCCCTGGCCCCCAAACTAGGTAGGGCCCCACCCTAAGTATGCAAACACCAGGTATATTAGTATTTGGCCCAGTACTGAACGTAGCCGGCCTGCGAGTCCTGGCGTCCGCGAGAAGGATGGTGTCCGTATTAAAAAAATAGAATGAAAGAACTAGCGTCCGCGAGAAGCCACACGCACACGCCGACACGCGACTCGACTCCTAGACTCCTCTTCCACGGCGGCGACGCGGTCTGCGGTCACGCGGACCGGCGGGCGGATGCGACACGCGCGGCGGCGGCGGCGACCGGCGACGTGAGACTCGAGGGCGCGGCTGTTGCGCCTGTGCGACGGCGCGAGGCGAGACCGCGAGACGCTGGACTTGACGCCACGCCACCTTGTCGATCGAATCGATCATATCGTCGAGTGTGGCCGACCTACGTCGCCGGATGTGAAGAAGGCGGAGCTTGCTATACAAATAATCCTGCAGCCTGCTAGCTGCTGAAGGAGATCGATCGGTAATTGCTAATAATAAAGGTTATTATTAGGGATTATTATTGCTGAGATGTGCGGTTTTATTTTGATTATATTGCATTTGGCTCTACCGTAGCAGTATCTGGTGGACCGTACCGTACCTCTGTGGTAACAAAAGCACAAAGAGCTTGTTCAATTTGCACTATGGAGTAGTTTTATGTGAACCTTACGTTCATGAATGCTGTATTTGTTTGGGTTAGAGCTCTCGACATGTGCTTGGACCAGACATGTACAGTCTCAGTTAAACCTACACAGATGGCCATGTAGACCACCAATTGTGGGTCCGAAAAAAGAATGGCCTGACCTTACCAGGCCAAACATATTATAGTTACGAGTTGTGCGGATATGTGCTTGGACCATATATCTACAGTCTCGGTTAGGCCTATAGATGGCTATATAGCCCGCCCAGTATAGGCCCGGAAAATATGACCTGATCTTATATCCTATTAAAACATGCTACGTATGTGTCGTCAAACTGTGTCATCCATAGACACAATGGTCGGCTCAAGTGCAGATCGTCGAGCCTTTTTTCGAACTAAGCCAGCCTGACAAGTACGGTTTATACACAGAAGACATCACAAAACCCACAGCCTTGTGCCACCGCTGCTTTCATGGCCCTGCCACGGGGGAGAGCCATGTGAGCAGATAGACTCGCTAGCTAAGGCTGCTCTGAGTAGCATTTACTGCTGCTACTATAGAAAGAACTAAAAAGTCTGAAGCCAAAAAAAAGTTAAAAAATAAAAAATGTGTACTGCTGGTACTACACAAAGAACTGAAAAGCTTGAAGCAAATATTTTTAAAAAAAAATCAAAATCTAAAAATGGAGGAGGAAGAAAACCAAAATAAAAAAAAATAGAGAAAGAAGTGAAAATAGAAGCCAAAAAAATCCAAAATGGAGAACTGAAAAGCTTGAAGCATTTTTATTAAAAAAAATCAAAATCTAAAAATGGAGGACGAAGAAAATCAAAATAAAAAATAGAAAAGGAAGTTAAAAAGAATCCAAAAAATCCAAAAATGGAGATGTGGGATATCGATCCGATATCTCTCGCATGATTTATCATCTGAGCTACATCCCCAAACATGTCAGCACTCCAAGTAACTTTTTTGTTGTACGTAAAAAAAACATTGGTTGTTTATGTACACATCGGGCTCGAATTTTTTTAAAACAATATTTTTTAATAATTAATCATGAATCTAGCATTTGTTTGGAAAGAATTGTAGATACAGTACACCTCTATCGACGTTCCAAAAGCCGATAGGCCCTTTCCACGTGGGAGGTTACTGTAGGACTATCGGTCCTCCACTAGCCGACAGGATCTAAAGCATGACCACAGCCACCAGATGTATGCGGATGTACCTCCGCCGACCGTACCATGTCAGCAAAAAGATGGCCATGATGCACTGTTGAACCATATTTTTGTGTTAAATATGTTACTTCCTCCGTGCTTTTTTATTCACCGTTCTCGTTTTCTGAGAAGTCAAACGTACTCAACTTTTGCTAAATATATATTAAAAATATTAATATTTATAATACATAATTAGTATCATTAATAGATCTTTAAATCTATCTTTATAATAAATTTATTTAGAGATACAAATGTTACTAATATTTCTATAAATTTAGTTAAAGTTAAAAAAAGTTTGACCGGTACGCAAGAGCCTATGTTTGGTTGTGGGATCATCAGGGATGGGTTGAACCCAACCCAAATTTTCGGGATGGGGCGAACCCATCTCATGTTTGATTCAGCAGGTTGGGTTCAACCCAGTTCTGTGTTTGATTTTACAGGTTTTGTTGAGTGGGTTGAGTCACTGAATGCTGGGCCCCATATGGCAGCCTCTAACTCTTCTTCAACCTCGTGCCCGTCCAGGTATCCATCCCCTCGCCAAGGCCACGCACCAGCCAGCGCTTCCGAGGCCACCATGCTCCTGCGTTGTGGAAGTGCGCCTGCGCCGAGCAAGTGCCCGTGCGGCCCGCGGCCTTCCCTAGCCGGAGCTTGGTCTCCACGCCTTCCCCTGCTCTCGAGTTTGGCTACATCCACAGGCCTATCGGCCGGCGGGAGGCCGACTGTCCACCAGCTCCTCCGGAGGGTGTCGGCTTTCCACCTGCCGATAGGTCCGCTATCGGCGCCTACAAGCTTGTTCGGAGGGTGTCGGCTGCCCCGTCGTCGTCACGTAGGCCTATGGGCATGTGAGCAGCCGACGAGAAGGCCTATAGGATGCTATATTTGTGATTTTTTATAAGAGTTTCTAGATTTGCAATTATTTAATAAAAAATTATTTTTAAAAAAAATCTGCAGTTAATTGGATTGTCGTGCATTGCGACGACGAGACGCACAGCTCAGCGACCGTGCGTCAGTGTCTCAACGATGGAAGGCACCGCCTCCGGTGGCCGGGCCGGCCCAGCGCGTATGACCACCATGTCGCGGCATTACTTCGGCGGCAGCGTGTCCGAGCACTACCACGACCTCCGTGTCGATATCATCGAAATACAAACATGTTCACAACTTAATTGAACTGTCTAAATGCACCTAACATGAGGATACACAGCAGACATCACAAAACCCACAGCCTTGTGCCACCGCTGCTTTCATGGCCATGCCACCGGGGAGAACCATGTGAGCAGATAGACTCGCTAGCTAAGGCTGCTCCGAGTAGCATGTACTGCTACTACTATAGAAAGGACTGAAAAGTCTGAATCCAAAAAAAAGTTAAAAAATAAAAAATGTGTACCGCTGGTACTACACAAAGAACTGAAAAGCTTGAAGCAATTTTTTTTTAAAAAAAATCAAAATAAAAAAATGGAGGAGGAACAAAACCAAAATCAAAAAAATAGAGAAAGAAGTGAAAATAGAAGCCAAAAAATCCAAAATGGAGAACTGAAAAGCTTGAAGCATTTTTTTCAAAAAAAATCAAAATCTAAAACTGGAGGAAGAAGAAAATCAAAATAAAAATAGAAAAAGAAGTGGAAAAGAATCCAAAAAATCCAAAATGGAGATGTGGGGTATCGATCGCATACCTCTAGCATGCTTTATCATCTGAGCTACATCCCCAAAGATGTCAGCACTCCAAGTAACTTTTTTGTTGTACGTAAAAAAAAACATCGGTTGTCTATGTACACATTGGGCTCGAATTTTTTTAAAAACAATATCTTTTAATAATTAATTGCGAATCTAACATTTGTTTGGAAAGAATTGTAGATACAGTACACCTCTATCGACGTTCCAAGTAGGCTTATCGGCCCTCCACTAGCCGACAGGATGAGGTTACGGTACTGTATGCCTATCGGCCCTC